TTAAACACTGCAGCAGTTACATTCTGGCGCCTCAAGCTCATACGGCAGAATGTAACTGCTGCAGTGTTTAAGGTGGAACGGGAGAATTCGTACAAGAAGCTGGAGAATAGGAAGTTGACTTCAGCCTCATAGAAATTATTAAGCCGAAAATTAAAAATTTTGAAAAGGAACAGTGTTCCTTACCGATATTGATCAGACTTGACTTTTTACTTAAGAGTTGTCTGGTTAACTGAGAACAGTCTGTTTTATGAAATACCCCTGTGGTGATCACACAACGTAACCTAAACTTTAAAAAAGGTGGATAACCTAGAGCTCTAACTGTGATCACACAGGGACCAATCAGGGCCCGAGTTGACGGTCACATGATTTTGAAGGAGGCTAACAGGCCATGAAGGAGTTTGCTAGCAAGTTTAGCAAGCACTGTGTGGAAGAACTCCCCCATGAGGGCTATGTAGTTTCTTTTTCTGAGCGGTTAAAGTAGCATATTTGTCTGTTTTTATCAAGATGTTAACGGTGCAAAGAGTTATGCTTTCCTCTCGCCCAGGTAACTTAACGCAGTGCTTAGATGCGGAATGTGTTTTGAGTGTTTTTCTGAACTGCTGCTTATGTAAGCTAGGTTAAGTTAGCTAACCTAGCAGTCTATAAATCTTGAGGTACATATAAGGTCTGTTTCTGTTTGTGTAAAGGAAACAATGGCAGTCCAGTTCCAGAGAATTTCCGAGTAGAGGAGACTAGCTTGGCTACGGACCTGAAGCAGGGTGAAGTGTTGGTCAGGACCCTGTATCTGTCTGTGGACCCCTACATGGTGAGCTGCGAGTCTTTACACTCGTGACAGTGGCTTCACAGTAGTCCTCGCAAATGCAAGTATATTAAACAGGAACTCCGGCCCACAAAATAGAAAATATAAGCATCGCTATATCTGCAGTAAACCCCTCATTCAGTCATGCCACTCAATTTTGAGAGTGAGATTTTTCAGTTTTTTTTTTTCGGAACTTTTGAAACACTACAAATGCTTTCGGGTGGATTTTTGGGGGCAGGTTTTTTGAAAGTCTTTTTTTACCCCACTATCTGGTTAATGCAAAAAGAAGCCAGATAGCTAACATTACTGATAAGAAGCCAAATATCACATCTGTATTTATGAACCTCTACATTAGTGGAGGGATTTGCATAATGCATGCTGGGTGTTGTAGTAAAACAACATTGATCAAGGAAACACAAAATTCTGAGTTCTGTGGGACTCATAAGGCAGAGAGACTCAATGCTGTGCTACAGAATGTTTATGTAACATGACAGATAACATATTAAATGCTACTTTTGAGATTGACTGATATTAAAATTAAGGATTGAACAAAAAGGAACAAATCACTAAAAATCACTAATTATCAGCTGTAGCTCTGCCTTAATGGCTCTATAAAAAAGACTTTGCTGAAAATGAACTGAAACTCTTCTGTACAGCGTTGTCGCATGAATGATGACACGGGTGCTGACTATCTTTTGCCATGGAGGCTGGAGGAGTGTGTTGATGGAGGTGGGGTTGGTGTGGTGGAGGCCAGCAAGAATGAAGCACTGGCTGTCGGTGACATTGTCACCTCCTTCAACTGGCACTGGCAAACTCACAATGTGATTGATGGTAACCTTTTACAGAAGGTATTCATGATTTGTTAACTGCAGTCCTATGCATAAGTTAGACATGCTTATGTTTCCTGTGGAATTGTATGACCGACTTGCGCTTTTTCTTAGGTTGACCCCAGGATGGTTGATGGGCACCTGTCATATGTTCTGGGTGGAGTAGGTATGCCTGGACTCACTGCGCTTCTAGGTGTAAGAGAGAAGGGTCATGTAACCCCCGGGGCTGGCCAAACCATGGTCGTCAGTGGAGCAGCAGGAGCTTGTGGTTCCCTCGCTGGACAGGTATGCGTGCAGAATTAAATGGGTCTGGAACACTGAAAGTTATGGTACAGATTAAGATATTGAAAGTTGTGTTACAAATGAAATCAATACAATCAGTTAAAGTAGAACTTCTCTTAGGTCTCGCTATAGCTGTAATTATAGGAGGAAAAAATTAATGCCAAGAAATTTATATTTAGGGTTTTTATGGTAACATCAGAATTACTTCAGTACCACTGTGTAACAAAAAATTAATTCATTTAAGATCAAATTTCAAATTCCCCCAAATTAGTTGTTATCAGAGTCAGTGAACCAATCAGCATGCTTGTTTCAACATCTAGACTTGTGATTGGCTTTATTAATATGTTACTAACAGTCTGTTGTACAAATACAAATATAAATAGCAGCAGTGTTGCTGAATATCCCCTATACAGTCTTCAAAATCGGAGACTGCTTGGTACCAAGCTGTGACTGCACTTTTTGGAATAGATTTTTTTGCAATTAATTTGTTGTGGGGAGACCTAGCTAGTGGGTGGAATTAGACATGACTAAATTGGGAGGGGATTTTTAGAGGGATTTAATGTTTTTGTAGTTTTTTTTTTGTATTTAAAAGTAGGTATAGATAAAACATGTTGTTCTGATATCAGGAAGTCAAAACATTTTGAATACCCAGACCTACTAACAATAATGAAAGTTGATATGAATGTATGAAAGTTGATATGAAAGACGTTAAAATTTGCTCTCTATACTATATTCTCTGTCTTTGACCTACATGACATGCTCATTTTAAAAATCTGTTGATATGTCTGTATGTTATTTTATTGTATACTGTTGTGCTTTAAGATTGCCAGGCTGGACGGCTGTGAAAGAGTGGTCGGGATCTGTGGATCAGATGAGAAATGCCAATCCCTGGTGTCAGAGCTGGGTTTCACAGCAGCTGTGAATTATAAAAAGGGAGATATCTCAACAGCACTTAGGGAAGTTTGTCCCAGCGGAGTGGACATCTACTTTGACAATGTGGGAGGTCCTATCAGTGACACAGTCATATCACAGGTAGGGCTATAGACTACCTTCCACCTGTGGCCTCTAATATTACAACGTGCCTACAGCTTACTGTTATGTACCTTTAGAGAGTTTGTGTATTTAATAAACTTGCTACTGAGTACATTGTTGTTAATGGCGGGTTTTGCTTATCTCCAATCTACAATGCAGATGAACAATGGAGGTCACGTGATCCTGTGTGGTCAGATCTCTCAGTACAATAAAGATGTACCCTACCCACCTCCACTGAGTGATGAAACTCAAGAAGCTCTGTGCAGCAAAAACATCACTAGGTACTAACAAGTTTATAGAGTTTCTTACAGTGTTGTCTAGTGAATAACAGTATTGAAAGTTATGTTTTGGTTGACCATTTCTTTGAGATTATAGAATGTACCCTGTAGATCTACTTTAATGTTACATTCTATGTGTGGACAGAATTTTCTTTGATTTATTAAAATTAGCGGATGCTCAGTAGTATTTTTTTGTAAGATGTAGTTGCTGGGTTTCAGTCAGGTTGTTGCTTGTCACAGAAGTTTGGAGCCAGTGAAACCATTTTCTCTGTTTGTGTTTAGGGAAAGGTTTATGGTGCTGAACTACATGGAGAAGCATGAAGAAGGGCTCCTGCAGCTGAGTCATTGGGTGAAGACAGGTCAAATTAAGGTAGGAAGGAAACTGTGGTAAGAAAAGATTTTTAGCAGATACTCACACACACAGTTGTATTGTTCTGCAGAAATTTGATTCTACTGTTTCATTTCTTCAGCTGTTGGAAACTGTAGTGAACGGAATCGAGAACATGGGTGGTAAGATCTAAATCACTGTCAAATATCTATATATATTTACATCATATTTACTGCACATTTTAAATTCTGATCCCAGTAATTAATTTTTTATTGCAGTTGCCTTTTGCTCCATGATGACTGGAGGCAACATTGGGAAGCAAATTGTAAAAATTTCTGACTGAGCCACATCTCTCCAGCAGAGGGTACTGTTTTTGTTTTCACAAGGGGCCTGTGAATTTTCAGTGGTAATTACCACATATAGTGTTTGTATAATTATTTAATAATTTAATTATACTGCTGTATGTGGTATTAGATTGTCAATAAGCCATTCAGTGAAAGTCATGTGCCTAACAAAACCACATTGTTTTTCATTTTTACAATTTCAGTTAATTCATTATTTGCGGTTTTGAAAAGTGTCTTAATTATGGCTTACAAGAAAATCTGCTCAATGGACAGCTTTGACATTTTGATATGTTTGATATGCACTAAATACAGCAGGCTAGTTAATTAGTTAAACTGATTTTTCCTTGTGGATCTAATACTGATTTTCGTAGTATGACAATCATTTCAGTTTGAGCAGCAGTATCAGATTAATACGCAAATGACAGCTAACCTTCTAGCTGAAGGTTAGCTGTCATTTAAAATGGTGGTTGTAGTACCATGACATTTCAGTACAAATTCCTCTATGTTTACCATGTCAAACAAGTGAATTTCTAGTGATTGTTTGAAATCAATTAACTGAACTAAAATAAAAAAATATATATAAATTAAAAGTAAACTACCTTTGTGTCAGTTTTTTAAACAGTGACTTCAAAAAGACCCACATAACTTGGCCCTTGAAATACATGGGTTTGTTGTACCTCAATTACACATTGTATATATTAAATGCTAAGTATGAAGAATCAGTAACTTGTGGACGACAACTAAGAGCTCATACTGGCTTGTAAAACGGTGGTATGGGTGCCATTGTTGTTAGCTGATATTTATTTTGTAAGAAATCTCCTTTGCTTTGTCATTTGTATTCTGAATGATCCACAAGTACTACTATGCCTGGATAACTGGTTTTCCATAACGAGGAGAGAAGCATTGTTCAGCATTGTTCAGCAATAATGGAACTACAAAGCAGCATGACTACTAAAAACAAGGGAATGCCCACAAACAGAAATACAGAACACATTACTACATCAATGTGGATAAATAAATTATAAAAGCATACCACTTCAAAATCAAAGTAATTTCAAGTAACATTCAGATTTCATCACAAGATTAACAAGTAATGAGTTAAACACCAGATTACATAAACTCGTAATTATTGTGCCACAAATGAAAAACAAATGACCAAAAAAAGCAATAACCCTTCCAAAACCATTCACATTGTTGATAGATAATCCAGAGCAGCCCATTGTTCAAGTCTTTACATTCCTGAGAGACAGCAGAGACCTTGAGTGACCTGACACAGAAAGGCAACAAAAGCCAACAAATACACCAGGAACTTTGTCACAGCAAATTTGTTGTTGGACTGGTGAAGCAGACAGAAAAGACAAAAGGGAAAGAAAAACAACATGTGCAGGACGCAGTGAAACTGATATCCTTTTTAACTTGGCTGTGTATTGTGTGCATGTAAAATTGCCATTATCTTCTAGTTTGCTTTGTCTCTTGTAATTATGCTAAACTAAACGCTAAACGATGAGTGTGAATTATGTTTTGACTTTGATTGTTTCTTTAGTTTGCATCCTCATTTGTGCGCTACATCAGCATGTGTTCACAGCCAAAGATAAAGTGAGGAAAAGGTGTTCTTCAAAGCAGGATTTCTCACTTAGCCAGAAAACCTAATCTCAAGGTCGGTAATGTCCAATGGGAATATCCCTCAACTCATTCTGTTAGCTCAGGTGTAGTGTATATACACCAGTGACTGCATTTTCATGTTACTTGAAGAGTGTACATTGTACATTCATATGCAATTACAAAAACAGTGGTTTTCTTGACAGTGTAATTAGAACTTTACCTCAAAACTCTGGATTGCATGCAGGCACCAGCTTGGAACCCCTCATGTGCCTTACGATAGTCTAACTATCAACGTATCAAACTATTGACAGCTTGTTTCACACAGAGAGGCAAGAAGTGAAGTGTTGATTGGTTAAAAACATCCTGAATCTTACAAGGGTTCACTTTATGTGCCATTAGACTACTACCTGACCGATCAACTGATTACACAGCCAGGTGAAACTTGAAATAGAGGGAATGGAAATTACAAAAGAAAGCATAAGAGCACTTGAAGCTCTTGGGGTTGGATTTTCTGTCTTAATGGTTAAAGCAGCACTAGAAGGCAGGTAACAAAAAGCTATCAGGAAGATTGTTTTTGCTCTTCTAGTGACTATGATTCACACGTGCCTGATTCACCAACAAGTTCAATCTAAACCTCAATTAGTGATGCCCATCTGATAGCCACAGAACGAAACTGAAAGCTCATAAGTTTCAGGATTCCCACCCCTGCCCAAAGCTAACTACATGTCAGATAAAGAAAGAACGTAATGACTGTGCCTATTGAGCAATGCCAGCAGGTTAAAGAGGTTTTTCAAGCAGAGATACTGGTTTTCAACCACTTGACCAGATCCACTGATACATTTCATTTGTTTCTCAGAGAAAACATCCATAATACAAAACCATGAACCCTCCCCTTCTGTTAACCGTGTAGGCCCTCAGTGTTGGTCCAAAAATATTCACATGCATTTTAAGTGAAGAGTGTTTGACCATAGAAAATGAAGTCTGGCAGCAGAACAAGTTAGTGAACTATTGTTCACTAGTGTCTGTGTTAAAATGCTGGAACATCTTCAGCTTCATCTACTGATAAAAGATAGAGATGAACAAAGATTCATGTTAAAATAAAAGGACCTGTGCACCTTTGCAACAGAAATGCTGACTCCAACAAAAATGACATCCTCACTTTCATGACAAAAAATAACTCAATATACTGATTGTTGAGGAAGAGGGGTGAGACTTGGCACAAAACAAGGAACTGGTAAAATGTTTAAAAATATGGCAAAGTGGACATGAAGGGTCTTTGCACAGTGTCTTGCTGTCATAACTTCGTGTCGCTCTTATTGTCAGCGAAGTCTGGAGCTGATCCTCTCCAGGCCTTGTAGACCAGAAACAGACCCATCGCCAGTGCCCAGGTACGCACTGGCGACAAGAAGAAAGCCAATGACCCGTAGGTCTCCAGGAGGAAGTAGCAGGAGTAGGCCTGCCAGATGAGGAGGAGCAGCATGGCCACATGAATGACCAGAGTTCGCCAGCGGCATCCTGGCCGGCAGAAGTGGGAGCGGAAGGAGCAGCCACGGCAGCGCTGCTGAAGACTCCAGCAGAGGTAGCACGTCAGAGGCATGTTAAAGAAGACCAACTGTAGAAGAAAGAGAGAGAATCTCAGGATAAAATATTCCCTTTTAGCAGAGGAGTGACAGCTGGGCGAACAGTGGAACACGCTCCTCATGGGTTCCAGGTGGAGAGAGCCCTCAACAAGCAGCTTGGTGTACAAGTTCAAACATTTAGTGCCATAACTAAATGAAAATGGGTAAAATAAATTTACATCCATCAAACATATTATATATTATGATATACATACATACATACATACATACATACATACACACATACACACATACACACATACACACACACATACACACACACACACACATACATACATACATACATACATATATATATATATATATATATATATGTATATATGTATATATATATATATATGTATGTATATATTAGAGACTTTCTCCTGCCTCTCCCTTTTGTTGAGGCACAAACAGGGCAGCATTCACTACATTTAAAGATTATATGACTATGACTGTATAGTAAAGCCTTGTTCAACTGATTTATTAGGCAGTGCAGTAATGCAACATTCTGTTTCATATACAGTTGACATTTATAGTTAATACTATTAAACATTTTCAAGAGATGGTAAGGGGCCCCACAGAAATTGCAAGGCACTAAGAACTAATAACAAGTCTAGCTGTATGAACCTGGGGTATGAACTGAAATGTAGACCTGTTTTAATCCTCTGATTTGTCACCATTCTTACCTGTATAACGCCCACTACATAGGTTAGACTACCCTCTAGAAAATGCCCATCCACAAACACGCCAAAAGCAAAGCAGGCTCCAGTGTGGCCATCAATCACCTCCCCAATGAACCAAGGACCTGCAATCAACCAGATAAAACAAGTTCACTCTATACACTAATAGCAAGACAGTATTCAAGACAACATTGCTGTAACACAATCTTGTATCTCTAAAAGTTTTGTAGGTGAAAAACAGGTACACTGATGTAACTAAGCATGCATATGGCAAATTTTCAAATGACGGGAAAATAATAATAGTAATAAAAAAAATTAAAAAAAGATTCTGATAGCGATGAGTATGCTGCAGGTTGTATATATGTTATATCTCTAGGAAGATCTGTTACACGCAGTGTGTGCTCACTATACAGCACAACTTTTTAACCTTCAGAGATGGTGACATTTGCAATACTTTGTTCAAAAACTTACCTAATGCTGTACACAGATTAAACAGCAGCAGGGTGTAGTAGAAGATATTAATCTTGCTGACAAGTTGTAGGGAAATGCAAGCTTGAGAAAACAGCCCTAAGAGTACAAAGAATATGTGGTTGGTCAGAATGTTAGGACCCATTCAGTTAGGGTTATGATGATCATTTGGCAACCTGTCATTTTTACCATGTTTCCTTTGAGTTGGCCCTCGGGCAGACGGTACTTGCTTGAATCTGAAGGCCACAAGGGTGCCCACGTTCAGCAACACAGCGGCCACAAAAGCAATGCGTGCCTGTGAACACACGGACAAGCTTGGGAATTAGACAGCCATCTATGGTCTCCATTCTAAATCTGTGTTCACTCAATTGCCCTTCCTTACCAGGATGTAGTGGTCAGTAAGCAGGATGAAAGACTGTAGGAAGCCGAAGCTGGGTGTGAGATCTTCCTGCAGTGTGAAATGCTGCTCTCGCACTTTGGAGCGACCTGCTGAGTCCTTGTGCACATACACACAGGACCACAAGGAGGGAGAGAAGTATTCATCAAGAACAGAGACATGATAGAACTGCTATGCAAATGCTGCTTTTTTCCAATCTGTATTTCAGTTCTTCACTTTGTACTACTTTCTGGCATAAAACATATGTATAGCAAAATCAGTAAGCATGTAATTACCATAAAAGTATGTTCCACTAATATGTTTCCAAAAAAAAACTCTATATTTCCTCTATAGTAATTCTAGGGCTGACATGATTGATTAGGTGAGAACTGAGTAATCCAGTGATTATTTTGATGATTAACTGATTAATTTATTGATATGTGGGTTTAACTGAAAAATAACTAGCTATGTTCACTTCCCACACAGGGCTTAATATAATTTGTAATCTACTCAAACACATACATGTAAATCACATGAAGCCTGTAACAGACATTCAGATATATTCTTGGTGCAGCCTTCATTTACCTCCACTTTGACCCTGATGGTGTGCAGTCCAGTGGTGTACAGGGATGGATCCCAGGGCAGCACATACAGAGGCCCTCCCACAGACACTGCTTTCCCCAGGGTCTCTCCATCCATGCTGACATACACTGCTGTGACTGGTGCTGCTGAGAAGACAAGCATCCTGTAGAAAACAAAAGACACACAAAAAAAAATCAGCACTGAGCACCCAACGCTGCAACTAGAAAAACAATTCCTTGCCATAGGTAGATAAAATGCAGGGAAGAAGAGGTTTGGCTTTAAAGGATGAAAATAAACAATACGTATGGAGAGGGCAGATGGGGGAAAATCATGAGGGGCTTAAAGGCTCAAGAAGACACACACAGAGGGGACACCTGATGTGTGTAGAGCTGTGGATGCGACCCAGCGGCTCCACTCCTGGGTGCAGGTATTGCGCATCTTTGGGGTTGGTGATGACCACCGCTGGCCAGTCCTCAAATGTCAGGTCTGAAAAGCTCATGAGGTCATGGTCAAAGGCCAGCACCCTGTACCTGATCACAGGAACAACACAAAAATTTTATTTTAGGTAAAACTGCTTCCCTAAATAATAAAATATAATATTATCCTATTATTGCTTTTATCCACTCAGCTCTGTTGCTTTTACCTGCGGTTGTCCATCCAGTCTCCCAGCTCCAGCTCCAGCGTGCCCCCTGAGTGTCTACTGTGGAGGACAGGCATCATGCCGCCCAGCGTGTGCAGGTGTCCGCACAGGTACACCACAGCTGAGCTGCAAAGACCAACCAACACAAAAGGACATGAATTCAAGCCCAAACAACACAACAGGACAAGAAATGAAGCCTAACCAACACAATATGACAGGAATTCAAGGCCAACCAACTGTATAATTAATGTGACCTAATACATGTTAATTTTTCTTCATCTCATTCTGTATTTCCTCTTTGTACTTCTTAAGCTGTTATCACAGTACCAGGCTGAAGTGGCACAAACTTTTGCCTTAATTTGACACAGATCTGATGTTTTCAGAAATGTGTGAACACGCAAATCTGATCTTTTTCACTCATCTGAGCCACCATCATATGTCATCCTAGATCAGATACATATCCAATTTGTGGCCATGCACCTTAATGAGAAAGATCAGATTGGAATTCATGTGTTTTTTTTTCACTAAGCCTGCATCATCATTCAGTGTTAACGTGGCAGCAGCACCTAACCTCATCAAGGCCCTGACTCCAGGGAAAGGGGAGATGATGGTGGAGGTGGTGTAGTGTCCAAACCAGACAGTCTGGTTGCTGTTGTAGCTCTCCTCCCTGAAGGTGGCCAATGTGTCCATTTGACTCTGTGGACAACATAAAAACATTAGACGGTGATAAATGAGCTTTAAAGGGATGTACAAACATAACTATCTGGACTGTAATTCACTGTGAAAACACATACCTGATTAAGTATTCCAAAGAAGTTGTAAGGACGCTTAGGTCCAGGGCTGAGAGTGGCATCTGCACAGATAAACGAATAGTTCCCAAAGGGAGTACTGTGTACGTAGTGGAAGGAGCCAACCTTCTGGATAGCAGAATACTTCCTAAACACCCAAAAACAAAATAAAAAAAAAAATACATACACATAACAGCTATGTATATTTTAATACCTGATAGACTATTCCGCACTCCTACAAATTGATTTTGTGTTAATTAAATGCTTTCGAGTACTCTGGATCCTCTTCAGTGTCTACTTGTGCATTTACAGTTGGCACACTGTAGCTGGTCAATAACTCAGCTAGTCTCCATTCTATTGCAGACTCCATAATCCTTCACATTGGAACTTAATTATCCACCTTAATTTAAGCAAATTAATGTATCCATTTAGGTTACTAGTAATGACAGAACAGTCAAGTTTACATTAGAAAAACAAACTAAATCACGCAGTCTTAAAGTTTTTGCACAGACCTGTAGTAGTTGTTCACACTGTCCAGAGATATGATATTGAAAGCATCTAAGGAGATATGATAAGAGAATATAGGTGTGGATTGCATTTTTCATGAAACAGAGGACAACAGTGCATATATGTATATGAATAAACAGAGGTTTTGCCTGGAAGCTAATGCAACACCAATTACAAGATCCAAGGGGAAATTGTACAAATACAGTAGACAAGTTGAGGTATCAGAGCTGCACTCATGAGAGCTGTCTTATCTACATATCGTGCATCACAAAAATGTCTTAAAATATTGTGATATTATATTTTTGCCATATTGCCCACCTCTATGATCCGCTTATACACAAATGCTCAGATGTAGCACTTAATCAGATTCAGACAGAGATTTTACTTTATACCTGAACATTCTGGACTGGAAAAGTTGTACATTTGTAACCAATTCACTTATCACAGTTGCAAACGAAAAACATACAGCTCTAATCAGTGCTGGGCTCCATTTCAAGTCATTAACATGCCTGGTAAATAGAGAATTTCAAGATGTGTCCTTAAATTGTTTTGATACTGACAGATGGTTGATAGAGATGACTCACTATACTAGACCTAAATAAACAGCAGAGACTACAAAAGAGGGTGACGCAGCTCTAAGGCTTCCTTTACACATTCAACACATTGTTTTTTTTTTATCTACATATATATAATATTTTCTTGTCTAAACAACCGACTATCACATCTAACCAGGCTGGATCAGACATCCTAATTATCATATGTTGGTTGCATATTCTGTGGTGGCACCATCAATAGTAAGGTTACATCATACATGAAGCAGTATTTAAATCAAGAAAATGATCTCAACTAAACAAATAAGTCTGATCTTCTAACAAAGAAAAAGGTTTAAGCACCCTGCCGTCATAACACAGAATAATCAACCATGCCTGGGGACTACATTTGTGGGAATGTCACTGATAGTAATGTGAAAAAGAGAGAAAGGTACTCACCATGGTTTCCACGAATGTCAATCCATTTAGTGTGTTCCAGCACTCGTGATCTTTTCAGAATGTTGTGATAGGCCTGCCACTCCACCTCATGTTGAAGTGAGCCGACTTTATTCTCAGTCTTTGCATCTGTTAAGTCCCCTGGTAAATAATCGGTAACAAACAGGTTCAAAAACTCTTACAATTGGGCTGATCACATATAAGCTGATGTGCAAGTTAGTAGCCTGGATGCTCTGTTAAAAACTCTCTGCCTGTGACAATCATGAAATTTTAGCTTACATTCACATTTGCCATATAAGTAATAGAAATTAAAAATTCAAGTTTAATTTGTTCATTGTCTGAAATTATTAACACAAGTATAAGCCTAAACTGCCCAAATAGCATGGTTTTCTATCTTGCTTCCTGGTTGTTGATACGTAACAGACACAGCTCCAGCTCAAATAAACAAACAGTACTCACCGCTGTTCTAGCATCTGTCATAAGTTAGAGCATTTGTTGACCACTATTGTCTCATAATAAATGTGTTTATTTACATTTATTGTATGAATACAGCCTGTTAACATTATACATGCTATCATTGCTGTTAAACAGTATATTAAGTGCCACAATGGAAAAAGGTTTAGGAATTTTTCCTTGACATCCAAACTAAGATGCAATATTTGCTGCTACTGTCAAATAAACTAAACTAAAACATGCATCTGCCTCAACTCAACTGATGGAAATGCATCCAACTCATATTCCATATATTGTGACATTATCATATGACTGTGAAAGCTAACAAGAGTGGAAAATAATCACAGTCAGCTAAGTTATTGGCAATTCACTCAAATAACTGCAATCAAGTGATTATGTAAGGATTGTGACAGACCTACTAATCGCTATTCCCATGTCTATACTGATACAAAAACTGACCTACATTTAATCAATGGTTTTAGTTCATTACACGTTAACAATAATATGTCATTTTATTTTAAATACCATAATTGTCAATAAATGTTACTAATGCCAATTAACTAATATACAAACTGAGAATTACATGATAATGATTTCAGGGTGTATCAATCAAAGAAAGAACCCACATTTGCAGATTCCTGAGGCAAAACCTTTGAGGCTGACTTTCCAGACTAAACTTAAACCTAGACAATGGTGAATCACTATTAAAAGGTCCATGTCATGGAGCACCGAATTTCTCACTTTCTTGAAATAAAGGTTTGATACGGGGGGTAAACCATGTTAAAGTTTGAAAACATTTTGTTCTCTTCTGAGCCTACAGGCCCGTTTTGAAATTCTCTGTTTTTATGATGAAAAAAAATATATCACATTTAAATATATCCTCCAAATCAGCCTGTAGCCTGCCCATTGATGTTTAACTTACAAGGAGTGTTTCAGATCATAATGCTTTTCAAATGAGCAGCAATACACGACAGCTTATTAGAACAGAGGTCATTTACATATATCAGTCTTAAAGGCACAGTAACAAACAACGTATTTAATTCCAAATAGTAAAACGAGTTTGGAAATAATTATGTAAAAATATGACGGTTTCTGGTACATAAAAACATAAAAATATGGTTCTGAGGGAAAAAAGCTGAAATATAATAAAATATGTTGCATATGGGCCCTCTAACACTACAGCTTAGTCCAGGCCTTGGCTTAAACCATGTCCACCAAACTGTCCCTTCTAACATAGTTTACTCACCTGTAACCAGCACAAGGGCCGGTTTGATCACGTCAATAATAGTGTGAGCGCAGAACCTTTCAAAGTCCGGCACACGTTTTGGATCATGGAAGCGACTGATATGAATATCTGATACCTGCACAGAACAGCAACACATACGCAGTCAAAACGCATTACTAGCGTTTATATTCGCTCTCCACACAGAACATTAAAAAACATACACATAAATCAAAAACACTCATTTATATGGTATGAGGTTCTCTCAGACGTTTAGGAAGACGGGCTGATGCAAATCAGGACCGAGAGCAGTCTTTGCTTCACTCAACATCGTGTGCCAGTGTTTCAGTGATTGTATATTTTTCTAACAAGGTCTGCAGACGAGGCTCAAGTTGGCTTCCAACACGAAATCCCGGATCTACCTTAAATGATGCAGCAGCTATTCTGCAAGCGATCGCCAGACTGCAAGTGCTGAACTATTTAATGTGGACCGGATTTTTCTAGTCAGACGCTAACATGGTGTGCAAGAACAGTAAAGCTAAATTGGTGGTGTTACTTCAAAGGACGTCCTTGCATTCGCTAATGTTACAGTAAGGTGCGTTAAAACGCTACATGTTTACAGTGCATTATGTCTAGCTTTAACAACAGATTGATGCTGTGGCCTCTGGCAGTCTCGCTTCCTCGCTCGTCACCACATTCCCTGATCTGACCGTCTCAGACATGTTGTCTAGTCACCGGGCTGGTCTAACAGTACGGAGCTCCGCTCACCTGCACAAACCAGAAGATGTTCTCCAGCTCGCCTCCGGGAAAAGGAGGCTCGCTCTTCCTCTGACTCTGCTCGCCTTCAGGTTCCTCTAAACTCCGTTTGGGGTGCCAGGTAGTGTCATAGCTGTCCAACAGCCAGGAAGTAAGGCACGCTAGCACCAAGCCGGCCACCACCAGCAGAGTGAACAGCCTAAGCATCCTGACAGGAGCAGAGTTACGGCTAACGAGACGGAAATGTCAGCTCTACAAAGAAAATCACTGACATGTACCGTTCATGGCACCGCTGGCCGGGGCCCCTATGCTCCCGTACTGACGGAGCGTCATGGGAAATCCTGACCACCTAAACCCCCTCCGCCGAGAGGAGAGCAGAGTGAGGTGGGGAGTGAAGAGGGAGTGAGGGGGGCTGTAATAGGGCGAACCGGCGCGTTGTCATCACTGTCCGCAACATACACTTCCGCCTCGCTGTAGTTTTAGAGCGAGGCCAGAGATCCTCCACAGACGAGAGGCTTCACTCTCACCCATTCAGCAAAGCACTGATAGATTTTAATGCTCTTTTTATTACAAATCAGCGCATTAAGTTTGAACAAGTAATAATGTTTGCCCTAGTGTAAAATGATGTGTAAATCGGAATTATAAAAAGTCATGACTTTTTCCGACTCTTTCCGATTTCCTATTTTAATAAGAGTATTTTTACTAGCATGAATGAAATTTTAGCAGCGCTAATTCTGTTTTCACAATAAATAAACAAATAAATACATTCTGAGATGTTAAAGTTCTAATTATTCTAATTGTTCTCAGTATTTAAAATGAATTTATTACATGTAAAGGTGTAGTTCTTACATGTAAAAATATTCATTCCTGTTCTTACGTTAAATAATGGAATTTGCACAGGAAGCAATGTTTACCAGCACTTATAACATTTTTACTTGTTAAAAGTTATCTGACATTACGAAACTTTAGATTACAAGCTTTTTTTTACTTCCAACGCCAGGACCTGCTAATTAATTCGTTTTTTTTATTATTTTATTAATCAACCATCATTAATCAATCATCAAAAAGACTTATAAATTCAAAACAGGGCATTGGAAGATCAACATGTTAAACACTAAGACAAAGGCTAAATAGACAGACAGACAGACAGACAGACAGACAGACAGACAGACAGACAGACAGATAGATAGATAGATAGATAGATAGATAGATAGATAGATAGATAGCTTTATGAGGGTCTTCTTTAATCAACGTCAGAAATTAAAATGGCTGGCCGTAGACGCAGCACCTCCGCAAATGTTGCCCAACTACATTCACACTAGATTAGCTCTGTACAGTTAAACTGGGGTTTGGTATACGACTAGGTTTTGAATATTAAAGTATAACAATAGCAAATATAGCAAAAGTACATAATGTAATGTTTGAAACTGCATACACTATGTGATACTGTTTGAAATGGTACATATAACATAAGAACAGTGTATAGTGTATGGTGGAGTTTGAAATACGTGCCAATGTTTGAAAAAGTCCACAGTTTGTATTTACACGTTTTATTGATCAACGCTGACCGGACATCCTACCCTCATACCAACATAAACAGTCTGCGCATGCGCAGGTCGCTGCTTGTTCCGCGACGGATGTCGGGTCTGAGTCGTAACTGGGAAAGGCGTAAACTTACTTTATTTTATTATCTGCTGTAGAATCAGTTTAAGTTTGCATTTGCTTTCCGAGGAAATACTGTCATCGCCCTCGATTTACAAGCTAGCGCTAAGCTAATTAGTAGGTTACTTCTGTTGTGCCGTGAAAGTGGCCCTGCTGTAGCTAATAGCTAAGTTAGTTAGCGCTAACAAACTTTGACAGCAGCAACATCGAGCTGGCTTTTAGTATCACATTTGGGTAGTATGATATACAGTCGGTAACCTTTTCAAATTCAGACATCACAAAGCTTTTCTTTCTACTTGGACACGCTGACCGAAGAGGTGTCCGCGCTGAATCTCTATGCTAAATGGCTAAGAAGACTTATGATCTGTTGTTCAAGCTCCTGCTCATTGGAGATTCAGGAGTAGGAAAAACCTGTGTGTTGTTTCGCTTTTCTGACGACGCCTTTAATACAACGTTTATCTCAACGATCGGTAAGTAAAGCACGACTGCGTGTTTATCTAGCTACCGAGTAAGGTAATATTGTCCAAAAGTATTCAGGCACCACTTCTAAATAGTGAATTCAGCCACTTCAGGTTGCACCCATTGCTTGAGGGGTTCCTCAGGGGGTTCCGTTGCACACACTGCATGACTTATATCTGTACAAAGGCATTGCTAATAGAATCGGATGCTCTGGAGAAGCTGTCACCGTGCCCAGAGCCAAGCGTCGGCTAGAGGGGTGTAAAGCCCCCCAGCTCTGGGCTGTGGAGCAGTGAAACTGCATTATCTGGAGTTATCGAGTACCTTTGGGATGGGTTCGAGTGGTGTTTATGATCTAGAACTAATCGTACAGCTAACATCACTACCTGACCTCGCTAATGCTCTTGTGGCTGAATGCAGCCAAATCCTTACAAGTGTTCCAATACCTAATATAAACCCTGGATGACCATGTGTTTACAGACTTTTAGACATATGGTATGTCTGACCTAAGAAATGCTTATTATCCCCTAACCCCAGCCCATCCTAGCACCTTGCCTGCTCCATGTTATGATCGTCTGAGTATCCCTAATCTAAATTCATTGAGAGTATTTAGTTAAGCCACCATTTATACCATAAATCTCATGTAGTGATGAGATTACATAACTACTGGAAAAATGGTGTCTTAATGTTTGTTCTATGATTTTTCAGGAATAGACTTCAAAATCAAGACAGTTGAGCTGCAAGGCAAGAGGATCAAACTTCAGATATGGTAGGTGGTTAATACTGAAAATGTATTAATATGTCTTGTATAATAACATAAATAATGTTAAGTGCTTTAGCTGACTTTGAAAATATCTTTGTTTGAAACTGGATGCTTAACTGTGGTATCATAAGTGATTTTATTTTGCCCATTTTAAATGGTTTCCCATCAGGGATACGGCTGGACAGGAGCGTTTTCACACAATCACAACTTCCTACTACAGAGGAGCCATGGGGATCTTGTTGGTTTACGACATCACCAATGCCAAAAGCTTTGAGAACATCAGCAAATGGCTGAGAAACATTGAAGAGGTGGGCCACTAACCACAACAGATGGGCTAATATGACTTCCTGCAACTGATGTGCTCATTTGCAGAAGTCATTTTAGCCCTTTAGATCATAGATTAATCTTACAGTGACTGCAGTTTAACATGAAGGCCAGTGTGTCTGAAGGGTTGGGACACCTTTTGATATTTTGTACATATGTGCTTTTGCTTTGTTGTGCAGTATCTCCAATTTGATCTGTGTTTGTTGTTTAATGCTTCTTCCTCGGAAGTAAATTGTCTCTACATAAAATGCTTGACGTTTTTTTTTTCAGGAAACTAAGGCAAAACTAAACAGAGTAGTTTTAGTGTGTTCTGTCATGTGGATTGTATGCTTGATAACATAGATCTTGATTTTTTCTTCAGCATGCAAATGAGGATGTGGAAAGAATGCTGCTTGGTAACAAGTGTGATATGGAAGACATGCGTGTGGTACCTAAAGCAAAGGGAGAACAGGTAAATTCCTTTGACAAGGTACACAAGATTTTGCTACACAGCAGATGTGTGAACGGCCTGGTGGATATATACAATGTATGCTTAAGGTTTGAGTTTTTAACATATTGGACGATTTTGTCTAATTTTGTCCTAATATTTGACTCTTTTGTTCTTAGATTGCTTCAGAACACAATATTCGGTTCTTTGAAACGAGTGCAAAAGCGAACATCAACATTGAAAAAGCTTTCCTGACACTTGCTGAGGAAATATTGCGAAAGGTTAGTCATCTGTATGGCAAATGTATTTCTAGTAGAGTATACAAAACTCTTTTACTTCTGCTGCTGTTTGTGGTGTGGTGTAGTGTCAGTTTATATAATCAATTTAGTGCTTAAGTTTCATTCAGGGGTGCAGCTTTGCAGAGATTAGCGTTTTCCATCTTCAAACTATCTGAATTCAAGTCAAAAAGGCCTTTCTAATTAGCTGCTGAGGTGAATCATATGTGTTTAATGAGATGGAATGCTTCACTCTGCTGTGCGCTGAACTGCCAGGACTGTAGTCTGACACATGGTTTAAATGTAATAGAAGATGGAGGGCCTTGTGTGCCAGTTGAACGCATTCTGCCCATGTGTTCTGTATGAAACTGGCGTATGAGCCGAAACATGCAGTCTACATGCCATAGGCACGAAAATTGTGCCCCTCTCCCTATATATGCGTTTGAGAGAGATTCATACAGAAAATGGGTGAAGCTATTGCAAGTTACATATTTCATTTACTAAAATTAAAAGAATAATTGCCAACAGAAAAACACAATCTCATTCAATTTGCTACAAGTAAAAGAATGTTTGCCAACAAAATAAGTGTTTCAACTCTAAGGGCCAGATGTACATATATAAGAAGGCACTGTGCGAAATGTGTGAAAGGTGGCAGCAATATGCAATTGTAACCTGTAATTTTTAAGCTGTACTTTTTGAGCTGGAGTGGAATTACCTTCCTGTACATGCTTTGGAGGGTAAGAACTTTATTCACCAACACCACTATCTCCATTACTGAGTTCGCAATTTTGTCTCTTTGGTGACAAATGGGGTGTTGGGGTGTTATGCACAGTTTGCATGATTAGCTACAGGCTTAATTTTCCATATGTCAATTTTGAGTATGTATTGTGGCTGCATCGCGTGCATTTCACATACAGTTTTATGCAAAAGTTTGGGCACCCTGGACAGATTACTAATTTTGTTGATTTTGGAAGTAAACACATCATTTACAAACTAAAAAAATATATATAAAAATAGAAATTGTGGCATGTGCAAAAGTTTTCCAGCTTTTGAAGGTACCTTTCCAGCTGTTAAGTCTCAGAACGATTAGTCAGCTGACGACATTTCCACAGCGTAATAAACTGTCTGACTCTTAACATCTTGTGTTAACACTCAACACTCAATGGGCTTCTTGGAGCATCTGGCTTAGATGGCTCTGAAAATCAACCTAACCTATGCCTACAAAGCAGGTGAAAGGTGTGAAAGATCTCAAAGCTCCTCCTCACACATTTCACTGCCTGAAATGTCATTAAGAAATGGCAGTTAAGGTTACATATGAAAGTCAAATGAGGCTCTGGCAGACCATGTAAACTCTGATAGAGCTCCTTGTATGCTGGTCAGAACGGCAAAGCAGAACCCTCAGATCACAGTAAAGGACCCCATTCTACTTTGATTTGCATAGAAGAGTCGTCAGAAGGAAACCCTCTGAAATATGCAGGCATTTTGGAAAAAAGTGCTGTAGACTGATTTTGTTTGGCCACAATCACCAAAGGTTAGTTTGGAAGAAAAATGGAGTAGCATTTGATGAAAAGAAAAAAAAAAACATCTGGCAACTGTCAAGCATGGGGATTGAACTCTTACTCTTTGGGGCTGCGTGACAGCCAGTGGTAGAGGAAACATTGTACGAGTAGACGGAAAAATAGATTCTCCTAGACCTAAGCATATTGTGGAAGAAAAAATGACAGTCCGAAATTGAAGCTGAGAAGAGACTGGCATCTACAACAGAACAATGATCCAAAACAAACCTCAAAATGTACCATTAACTACTTCAAGAAACACAACCTGAAGCTTTTGGAAAAGCCCTCACAGTCCTCTGATTGGAACATCACTAAAAATCTGTGGATAGTTTTATGCATGCAGGCCGACCCAAAAATGTTTCAGAATATTTCTTTTCATTTCAAAAATTCACAAAATATGTATTTTGTTACATATGGGGTGACCAAACTTTTGCATACTGCTATATGTACGTCTGGCCCAGAGTCGTCTAGACACAAATGTTAGAATCGTTTCAGTGTTTGTATATAAACTGTCTTTTAAATTTTACTATTCTACTCTTCTTTCAGACACCTGGAAAGGAAGCCACCAATGAAAATGTTGATATGAACAACAGAAGTGGCTCTGCAGGGGGTGTCAGGTGTTGCAGTTGAACAGAAAACCCTTCGCATGATTTACACCACTTCTGATTGGTCTCTTAAAACTTAAATGTAAATGTTAACCTAAATGCCCATTATGCTGGATAAGACTTTTACCTTTCACTCTACTTGACAAGCTTTTCTACAAATGAAAAAAGAGGGCCTGATTTCCTATTAATTAAAAGAACAAAAAGGGCATTTGGTACATTTAGTGATAATCTGTCAACAGCACTGTGCAAGGGAGAAAATACATATAATCACAGACTAGTAGATAAATGAGAACTAAGTACGAAAGGGACATATAACACTTAGTATTCATGTTGTGGTGAACACTAATTGTGCCTTAAATGCCACTTGGAGATGTGGGAGCTTAGTTCATGGTAAGGTTCTTGGATAGTTTTTAATTTTACTAATTTTACTGTCAATGAATGTTTTTATACCATGTCCCCTTATCCAATTCAAAAGCTGTGCCTTACCACCAGCAACAGCAAGGTTTCTGTTGTTCCAGAGCCTTTTTGTGAAACGAGGAATGCTGAGTGCACATACCGTAGCTGTAAGGGCGCTGACCGACCTTCTCTTGGTCTTCATTATATTTTATTAATAAATTTCATTCGCTTACAGGTTAGACTAGACTTTTTATCTCATGTTTGGTTCGAAAAATGATTAAACTGAGTGAATCCCTTCCTGTGTAGACTAAAAGTGATGATGCACACTTTGAACTTTCCAGAATGAATGTTGTGTGAACAAATGCTGCTCTAGCTCACTGACCGTGTATTACATCTGCCTGAGATCGTGCACTTTAGGGACTTCTCTGAAGTCCCAGTTGCAAAGGTCCATTGTGGAAATATAAAAGAGGCTCCTAAAAAGAACCATGCCCTGTTACTACCACATTCAGTTAAATAGCTGCTCTTTATTTGCTCTAAATTGCATATTCTTCTTTTAAGCAGTATCAGAATTTGTCATTTCCATAAAAGTTTTTCTTTTTTCCAGCAACTCTTTGAATATCAGTTTCAATTGCATTCTTTTCTCTAGAAGACATTCTGGGTGATGGCAAGGATAGGTTAAAGCTATACTAATGTTTCTACGCTGCATTTATAATATACTAACCAGAGGTATTTCAGCATGGGAAGTTGCTTGGTTATAAGTGATTATTTTTGTGATCTTTACAGTGGTTTGGGTGCATTTTATACATTTTCTCTTAATACTATCCCAAAAGGGACTTATTAGTATTTTCTGTGTTGAGTGGATTAATTGAGCCACATGATTTATGTTGGCTTTACATTTAAATCTAAAATAACAGCTTTATGGTAACTTCTTACTGATGCATTTTGCACTTTTTTTTACTGATGGTTTAATTATCCTGGTTCATGTCAGGGTCAGTTCTAGGCTTCTTTGCCGGGGTGGCCACTGGCAATTCCAAATCAAACACTTGAGATTGAACACTTGACTAGTTGGGTAGTAAATGTATTAGATTCTTATTATTTTACGGTTTTAAAGGGATACGTTGTGGATGGTCAGTGTTTACCTTAGCTTAGCCTAAGAACCAATCCTGGTTTACATTTTTAATAACTCTAAAATGAGAAAAATCATACTGATGAATGGGATGTTTCTTGATGAACTAGCCTGGTGACTTAATAGCAAAATGAGTAATAAGTAAGTTTCTGCCTTCAGAATTCTCTGTAGTTACAATATAAAGGGAGTGATGGGTTTTGATGTTAGTTTTGTAGTGCAATAAACTCACTTTTCACAAACATTCAGCCTGTTGTGTTTAATTAAACTATCAGCGTCAAGAATAATAATAGTTGTTTAAGCAAATACATTGATATGGAGACACTTTATCACTGTAACCCGCACACAGTCATTTATACTGCATGCCTAACCTGCTTTAGGGCAGGGTAAAGAGAGCTCGTCTGAGGAGAGCCTGGCCACTTCCTATTTCTCCTGTTGTATTAAAACATGACCTCAAAACTAGAGGGCGTCTGCGGGCGAGTCCTTTATGTTGGGGATGAAATGAGCTAAACGGCTAAATCCGAAAAATTAAGCTTGTTTATAACCATTTGTGCAGGACCTTACTTTAATTTTGAAAAGGTGAAGGATGTAACGTTATACCACTGAAAAAATCTAAGTAAAGTTACCTGTATGCTTCAGTTTTTCTAGTTAACAGGTTTTGAGCCGTAGGACGTTAGCATTACTGCTACCAAGAGCCGATTGATTAATATTGCTGCTACTGATTGCTGATTGGTTTGCATTACTACCACTAAGCGCTGATTGGTTGGCGAGTTGCTGAGTGACATTTATGAAGGTAATGAATGTAGATACGGCGCCATGAGAAAGTCCTATATCGGGAGGTCAGAAGCACTCAAATATATGACTGCAGTGTCTAAACATTCTGTGCATATATATATATATATATATATGTGAGTGTGTGTGTATAAAATTAATACACATTTACAAACAATGATTTTGCATTGAAAAACCATGGGACCATTCATTTTGTAACACCTTTTGACAAACCCAGAAGACATTACTGAGTGTCAACAAAGAGGATTCTTTAAACAGCTCTTGGAATGGTCAGTGAGAGCTTCTCATGAATCAGGTACTGACTGTATAGATAGTGGACACCCACTGGGTGATTTTTCTTCAAGATGTTTGTGGCGTTAATCACATGAAGGTTATCAGTTTTTTCCCCAGAAGTAGTAAATCATACTACAGATATTAAGCATACAAAACAATTATTACTCCAGTAAGCTCTAACAGCACTGGGTTTCACTGTTACAAAAGCTTCATTTTATGCATATTTACGTAGTTTTCTTCCTCCTCCTTTGGACAAATGTGCAGCGATTGGCTGTTCATAAACGTCTAAACGTAAGATGTATATATATATATTTTTTTACATCCACAGGGTGTTTTCTAAAAGTGTTCTTTTAAAAATGTAAAAGGTGACTATTCTGAACACTGCCTATACAAAACGTAACTTAGACTGATTATGAATACTACATTTCTGTATTCTGGATATGTATTCTGAATACTTGCATGCCCTTTTATAAGTATAATCTACATATTATTCAGGGTGAAACAGAACTCAAAACATGCAATAAAGCACAATGAAGATTAAAAACTGATGATGCTTTCTACACTGTACTATAACACAATAGACTAACAGACACCAAAACCACATCCAGATCATATTTGGTCAAGGTGTGACAAGTGTGCAAGCCAAAGTTTGTTGGAAATGTTTAGCATTTTAACATTGAACATTTCGAGAATGTTTATTATTTGGTGACAACAGAAACTTTCAAACATTTGTTTATTGTCTCATGATTGTTGTCTAACCAGAGAAAGTGAGATCTCAGCAAGTGCCAATATTCACCAAAAATCAAAACAGTTTCACAGATAAATGAATGCTCTTGAACTAAATCAAGCACAAGAGAAAAGACAATATTGACAGTTTTTGCTTGTTAGGATCTGGTCTGACACTGTACAGAAATGTCCTTAACCTATTGAGTTCTCACCATCATTTACAACCATTGGAAATACAAAGCTATCAAATATGTTAAATTTACAAAAGCAACTCAAACTCAAAATTATAATTCAGTAAAAAGGCTATTTAATATTAGTCAAGCACATAGTAATTATCTGCTTTCATTAAACATGTAGAGGCCTTTCACATGATAACACATTCTGACCCCTCTCTCTCTCTAAGTGCACCAAGTCGGTCATGTTCTGTTTACATTAAAAACAGAATTCATTCTATAAATGGCATTAATGGCACATGATTAGGTCACTTATGGAATTTTTTGCTTGGATCTTTGGCATGATCAAGCAAGAGCGGGCATGGAGTGAACTGGTTCCCGTACACCTCCTCAAACCTCCTCATCTTCTCCACTAATTTGTCAGCGCCAAAGGTGTCCACAAAGCGGAAAGGGCCTGTGGAAACAGAATAACATAATTTACCAGGCATCACAGTTAAAAACTACATTGTGTGGGAATAAATGAGGAATTGGCTCTTTGCTTTTGTTATTGTGTTTTTACTTGATCATGTGTTACATTCTAGTCAGTACGTGTTTGGCTTTTGCCAATGTATACAAATCGTCATTCATAAAACATGCAATGTGCCAGAACCAGAACCAGGTTAGCCACATATCTGTATTGATTCTTTTTTCCGTGAACACCAACAGAAATTGTTATAGTGAAATGTGTTAGTTAATGACACCATTTTATTTTAGTAACTGATTTATGCTGATCTTAAATTAAGTATAAATAGAAAGGTCCAACATGGTGCACTACATCTGTAAAAAATGTTACTATGTAATATAACATAAAACCATAAAGGAATAATTAAGGAAAAAAAATTCACACAATTTTTTTGCACAATTTTCTCTTTACTGCAAACATGGTCAAAATTCTAGACTTTTTAAAAAATCATTTTGATATGACAAACCTATTTATTATAAAGTTACTTTTGTGCATACAGTCTTGTTTTACAGAAAGAAAAAAAAAATCATTTGCCTTTTGCAATGTTTGTAAATGTGAGACATGCAGTCAATACAAAATGTAAATGAAATGTCAATGTAATTCATTTATAAATAATTATGTAAGTAATTAGTTAAAATTAATACGTAGCAAGATGATAATAATTCTGAGGCTTAAACGTAGTAGTAAATTCCAAATTTTGTGATTCTCACCTCCAAGGCAAGGGGGGAATCCCAGACCAAACACAGCTCCAATGTCTCCCTCTACTGGGTTGGCCAGGATGCCCTCTTGTAGGCACAACACAGCTTCATTCACAAAGCGAGACACCAGTCTGTACTGCACGTCTGAGTCTGATGACCTGCTCAGTGGAAGCAAACATCATCAGAAAAGCAGAAACAGGAAGGAAACTGTTCTAAAATACTGAGCTGGAAGAGTCTCAAAGCATCAACACTACTGCACTGCACAGCCTTGTAAGTGATGTGTCTGATTTTTTAAATGAAACCATTGTTGGTTCATTTGCAGTACAAGTTATAGCAACTGTGGAGGACTAGACAATATGCAGTCAGTCTAACCAGGTAAACACTTCAAGAAAAGTAAACTGCAGTCCGTTATGAGGCAACCAATTACCAATTGAATGAATTTGGCAGAATGACCACATATAATTAAACAGAAGCAGCTAAGGCCTGCCACTTGTGAATTACTATTAATGACTATTAATGAATTCTACAGTTGCCTAATAACTAATCAACAAACGAAAGAAACCATTATCTATTTGTATATATTTTTCTTATTATTTTTTATTGTAAAATTGGTTAAGTAATAGAAGTCCCAGTCTAACTGGAAAAAAAAAAGTGACATTGGATATATTGTATCACGCAGGAAACATTCCCAGCATTCCTTTCAAACAGAATTTTGTAAAGGAATGATGCAAATGTAAGTCAATTCAGAATGTTCAACAATGCCTCTGCCTCTGAACAAGCAGCAGGTAGCCCAATTTAAATTAGTATTGATATTTAGTGTACTCTAAACAGTGAACTCTCATTTCATTTGAGTTTGTTTCTGTGTTGGTTTGAGGTATACTGTAAACGCATTAGCCAAACATGCAGCCTTTTCCAAGATAGAGTTAGAGGGCTTTAAGTGAGAACACAGCTTGCGGTGAAGAAGAAAAAACTTACACTGCAGGGTTTGGTGTCATCTTGTAAAGCTCAAGAATCTCCTCAAGTTCTGGGTTGATATCTTTGTGTTTGAGTCCAGGCTGGTACAAATAGCATCCCTTACCAGACTTGCGGCCTAGCGAAATATCAGTGTGGGCCCAAAATCAGCGTGGGCCCCAATATGTACACAATGACTGACATCTTTCCAACAAATTTCAAATGTTATAAATCTTGATTTCTATTACCTTTGAAACCTTTTTCCACCATCGTCTTCAGAAGTTCGGGATTTCCTCCACCAAATCTAGAGCCGAAAGCTTTGCCCAGGTCCTCAGCCACATGAGCGGCCACATCAATGCCCACTTCATCAGCTAGGGTGGCTGCACCCACTGGAAATCCAAATCCTGTAGTCAACGAGTCCAGTTTCTTGGGGTCCACTCCTTCCTGTGTCCACAGAGGTACAGTACATTACTTTATAGTTTTAGAACAAAATAAAATCTTAACATTTACAGAATGACACTCAACATACCTGGAGTACTCTGACAGCTTCAGCTAACATGGGAGCTAAGCATCTGGTGGTATAGAACCCAGGTCCATCCTGTAAATTAAAGGATTTTGTTTAATGGGGACTTCAAAATGTAACTTTGTACAGTATTTGGTAGTTCTAATTTGATTATACAGCTGAGATTAAATTTCAAAAACACACAAAAAGAAGGGTCTGTCAAGCCAGCTCAGTGTCATACATGATAAACACGGTAACTCACCCCAACAACAATGATGATTTTGCCTTGTTTCAGGCCAACTGCAACTGCAGAGGCTGTGGTGTCCTTAGAAGTTTTATCAGTAGTAATGATCTCCAGAAGTTGCATTTTGTCCACTGGAGAAAAGTAGTGCATTCCAATTACCTGAGAAAACCAGAGAGATTATGTTTGCAAGCATACCTAAAAAATATCTCAAAATCCTCAAAGCGCCTTGAAAGATGACCTACCTTCTCTGGTCGTGTACTGGCAGCTGCAATGTCTTTGATTGGGAGGGCTGACGTGTTGGTGGCAAATATACATTCAGGAGGAGTGACCTGTTAGAATGAAATAATTCATGTATAATAAAAATGAGAAACACATCCTATACA